GCCCATATTTATAATCATGAGACAGGAATGATTACCAGAAAAGGGAAGCTACCACAATATAGCATATCTCTTTCTTTCATGAAATGCTTTTAAGGAGTAGGGGCTATTCCTTGTACACTTTTCCTCTCTTCAATATGTGTATTAATCAGGAGAATTGTGTGAATGAAGGACATGGAGGAAGAAGAGAAGTATGAGAATCTTTCTTTAGCTTCCTTCTTTTAGGAGTTTCAATAAGATTGAGGAAAACTACCTATTTTTATTTTTTGAAAGACATGCAGCTGGGAAAAAGTATTTATTTTAACTTAAAAAACACCCCAACTTGGTATACCCAAAGCAGATTATGTAGAGTTTAGGTAGATAATACAGAAAGGAAATGATGTAGTCTTAGTTATTTGGATGCTGGAACATTGATGTGGTGTAATTTTCTCAGGTGCTAACACAACAGAAAATGTTCTGAACTTCTCCGTGCTACTTTCTGGCTGTTTCTTGTATCATCCTGACCCCTCCCTCTCATCCTCACCTCTCATGCACAAGTTTTTCTGCCTGTTGTTTTTGCTTAGATGTTTAGAAGCATACTTAATAGTGTTTGTAAACATAGCTTCAGGGTAATGATAACATCCAAATCTCACTGAGTCCAAAACCACCTATAACCACAGCCAAAAGTGATATACAGGATTTCTTTTCTTTTGGTATTTGTTTTATGGGCACTTGATTAAGAAAGCTAATAGAGTTGAAGAATGTTTGGTTTTCCTACTATTTTAAAGTAACTATTTTAATCTTATCTTATATTTCTAATTCATTTTAAATTTATAATTATAATGAAATGATAGTTGATGCACGTTAGAAAAAAATCATATGTAACATGATCAACGTCCACAATTTTATTCTGAGTATCCCTTTTCAAGCCTTTGTTATATGCATACTTTTATGCCATGGTAAACATTGCTTAATTTTGAAATTAGATTTTTTTGGTCATTTGATGGAACAAAATGTAAATAGAGAGTATATCTCTTAGTTTAGGAGAGATTATCTTGTGCTAATGAGAATCAGAAAATGACTATTTTCTGGAGTCACTAAGTTTTGAAGTAGTCACACTCAGATGGTGATTTTAAGTATTGGTTTATTATAGGTAGTAAGAAATAATTTTTGTCTTTAATGTTATGTAAGGCTCACAATTGTTATATGCATGATAGCAGCTATACAGAATCATTCTAGCTTTGCAAATATTAGATTTGGCTGTTGCTAGGAAACCCAAAGTAAAAAGAAATTCAAATAAGCAAGAAGCATTATGAAATCTAAATTTTGTTGTTATAAACAATGCAGCTTTGGGTAACTTTCTATGATCAAAACAATTTTGTGGAAATGGTTTTATACTTCAGCTAAAGATAAAAAGAAACTCCGCACAACGCAGTGATCATTTCCTGTTTCATTTTTCATTTTCTTTTCGAGTGAAGCACTTTTTCCCTCACTAGGAGTTGCTTTAAATCTCTGGGAAGGTCTGTTCCGAATTTACTCCTTCTGGATTGGTTAAGATCCCTCTTAAGTGTGTGCTTTGTTCTCTGAAAGCTTTGGCCAGTTGAGCAACTTGCTGCTAGTGTTAAAAAAAAAAAAAAAAGAAGAAAGGAAAAAAAAAAGAGCTGAGTAATGCTGGAGACTTCTCATGTGGCTGATGCAAACCTGGAGAATTTGCATCATCATCTAGCTAGAGTAAGTTGGTGTGACAGGCAGGAGCTTAAATACCAGCCCACGAGGAAGCTGAGCTGGTCTGTAATGATAGGGCAGCTGCCGCAGCCGCCGCAGCAGAGGTAGTCGGGGAGGTGGGGGACCCGAGCACCATGAACGAACGCACACGTGTTCCTAAGGAGTAATTAGATTGCTGAAGGCGAAAATACACCTTAGAGTCTTACCTGTGAGCACACTAGCACTGAGAAAGAATCCGAAAGCAAACAGGAGGAGATCGATCAGTCACACCAAGAGGCATCCAAGTTGAAAGTTTGTGGGTTTTATTTTTTTCCCTCTGTTTCCTTTTTCCCCACACGTGGGTCCCTGCAATGGTCAGAAAGCCCGTTGTGTCCACCATCTCCAATGGAGGTTACCTGCAGGGGAATGTTCATGGGAGGCTGCCTTCCCTGGGCAGCAAGGAGCCACCTGGGCAGGAGAGAGTTGTGCTCAAGAAGAAAATCACTCTCTTGAGAGGAATCTCCATCATCATCGGCACCATCATTGGAGCAGGAATCTTCATCTCTCCCAAGGGCATCCTCCAGAACACGGGCAGCGTGGGCTTGTCTCTGGTTATCTGGACGGTCTGTGGGGTCCTGTCACTGTTTGGTGAGTTGCAGCTGCTTCTCTGGGGGTGTGTCTGTTTGCTCTCTGGGAGAGCAGAAGGGAATTTCTCAGGAGGGAATGAATGGCAAAGGGTACCCTCAGTTTTCGGATTTTTGGTGAGATATGTGAACTATACAAACGCAGTGTCCACTGTTGGCAGAATCCTGAATTCCCTGAAATTGCTTCCTGTAGGCTGTGCTCTCTTTTCCTAAGACAGATTATCGTCTGACTTTTCCCTGTGGCCGTGAGCACCAAAGCTAACTTTGATGACCCAGTAAAATACACCAAGCTTTCTGTCCCAGGCACTTGTGCTCAGTTACGTCTGTTTGGGGCATCTTGGCAGCTGGCATGCTGAATGAAACACCTGTGAAGTGAAACCCGGTGTGGCCTATTTAGACACAGAACTGAGTGTTCAGCAGAAGTTTTTACTGACTTTTTATTTGGCAAAACAAACGGGTAGCAGTCTTTTCCTTTTTAATTTTTTAACTTTGTGTGCTTGTCAATTCCTGATATTCCTTGAAAAGTCCCTGACGTGGAAAGAAGTGTGATGGCATATAATTTAATCTCTGTCCTAAGTGACAATAGTGCAAGTGTCTGAGCATATTTTACATTTTTTTCAACCTTTGATCTCTCCCCAGTACCTCTAAACTTTCACAATCTAAACCGCAAAACTGGAATTAGGTGTTCGTTTGCTGTGTTTGCCCAGGTCTGTTTTCTTCATTAAGAGTTCACTTGGCCTCCAGAGACACAGACAATCTGTCCACCTGTTCACTGAGTTAGTCTCAACAGAACTGGTAGAAGAAGTATGATTCTTAATTTTTCTTCAAAATCTAGATCTCCTCTATAGTAAAGAGGTAACAAATGCCCCCTCATGAGGTGGGCAAATTACTAGAAAGCTACCTGATTTAGTTGTGAAGGTGACAAAAACTGGTGAATGGTCAAGAAAATTAAATTTTATTTATGCTATGTGAAAAATGTCTGAGATATATTTGCTCTTCTTTGGCAAATAGTGTGCTTTGATTCCAAAAGATATTGGACATTAAAGTTACTAAGTCTTTGTCCTAACTCCAGGACCAAGTACTAACTTTTGGTCCTACATATACCAACTCATTTATTCTTAAGGCCTTGCCATGTTTTAATGCATTGGTTTGAGCATTCATCTAGAAAACTTCCTATTAATAGGAAGAAGGTATTTTAAATCAAACTTGTTGAAACAAAGGCTTAGTTTTTATAGAAATATCTACTCTATTTTTAAGTGTTTACAAAGAGTTAGTGGTATTCATATGGTGTGGTGTGCACGTTTGTAGACAAAGAGAAACTTAATTGTTGATCTTCTTTAATGACTCTGTGCACCCTCAGCCTTTAATTGTCCACAACACTTGGTATACTCAGAATAAGTCAATATCTACTAGGAGAAACCTTTATCAGTTTCCTGGATTTTGCATACTATGTGCAGGCACCCCCCCACTATGTGATTCCACTTTTGTACACAATAAATGGTTATTCATACATAATAAAGTGAATGGCTCTGAGCATTAAGCTAAAGTGATGCAGATTTGTACTATGAAAATATACTTTTGCATATTTATATTATCTCAAGAAGTTAACAAAAAAGCTAACGGGACTAGCTAAACTTACACTGAGTTGGTATTGTTTGATTACTAATTATAGGGAGTGTGTTCCTGAACTAATGTACTTATCTATATTTTCATTGCACTTGTCTTTTAAGTTACTGGGAACTTTTGACAGGAGTGCATTCCTAACAGGAAGCAAAGCAAAATATAAGAGAAAAAAAATATCGTCATCTTAAAACTCTAGAATTCAGGAACTAAAAATAAAAAATTTATATATTTGCTTTACAACCTATTTTAAAGCCAGGGTTAATACGTGGATTTTTACATCCTGTTTTGAAGTTTTTTCATCTAGGGAAAGTGGTTATGGAGCTTGAGACCTTTAAATGAAAATTTCATTTGTCCAGAACTCAATTTAAACCAGGGATAACCATCCTGGAGTTTCAGCAAAGTATACACAGGACTAGGGATTGATTCTCTGGCGATAAATTCTGAGGTAGTTAAGACTCTTTCCAATAATATTTTGTATTAGATGCTTTTCTGTACAGTCAACTAGCATGGCGAATGGTTTCCAGCAGAGAGTGAACTGCAACTAGTTACAATCAGTTATAAACATACAAACTGTATCAGTGATCCCCAAATATCAATATGTAGACTAGTTACTTTAGAATTAGTTGTGTGAATTTTAAAATCACAGGTTTTCTTGAATGCTTCTATGGGAGAGTCTGGCTTCTCTTGGTTAGAGAGTAGGTCTGGGGTATGGTCTTAGCATTTGTTTTCTGTTTGTTTTTAAATAAAAAAAATTTTCCCAGGTGACTCTGATACACTGGTAGGTTCAGGAATAGGATAAGTGACACTAAGATTTTGCTGATTATCTAAATTATATTCACGTTGGAGAGGTCTACCTGAAGCTTTACTGAGTAGTAATAATTTCCTATACTTTTCATCTCCAGAGTAATTCAGGTAAAAGTTACACCTTACCTTTGGGTACTTAGCAGCGTGGATAGAACTTTTCACATAATATCAAGATATATTTTTTCATTTTCTAGAGAATTAATTGCTTAAATGAGTAGATGCAACTGTATTTCATGAGGTGCTTTCTGTGTGTCACTCCCAGTGCTGTCCTTGACACCCATTTGCACATTTATACACACAAACCCCTTATAAGATGACGGTTGAGATCTTCATTTTACAGAGGATAAAACTGAGGTTTGGGTAAGTTACATAACTTGTGCAAGTCCATGTGAGTTTTATTGCTACATGTTAAAATTTGGTTTATAATTCATTTTACTTAATGTACATAAATGTTATAGCACCCCTTTTTAAAAAGTATGTTGTTTCAACCGCCCAGAGTGTATACTTGAAAGACATCCAAGAAAAACTTTCCTAAAAATAGAATATCTGAGTCAAAATTCATTTTGTTGACAAACAAAACATATCCTAAAAATGACATGAAGCCTTGCAAGGCCTTGAGTCCATGCTTTTCTGGGAGAGCAGATAAATCTTACTTATTCTGGTATGCCACAGAAATATCATTTATTAAAAGGATTCTCAATATAATGATAATGAGGTCAATTTAGGATAATTCCATGATGAGAAGTTATGTTCTTTGAAAAATAAGGATTAGCATCTATTTTCTCTTTTTTTCTTAGTCCCTTGTTCTTAAGGTTGAGATTCAAAATTCTCAGAAATATATTGTTTTTAAAGTTTGTCTTTACCATTTCAAGTAAAATTACATTGTTTGACTAGAATTAACTAGATCTCAAATACGAGGAAGTTACAAGAGGAATTCGGAGGCTCTTAGGAATTGGATGACAGTTATTTATTTTGAAAAAGTGATGTCATTCAGACCAAAGAATCTAATAACATCTCATGCAACATAAACATTGCTGTATCCATTCTACTGCTGGATGACTTGGTGATATTTTAACTTTGCACCTTTTCATTATAAATGTTTCACAGGAGCCTTGTCCTATGCTGAA